AGAGATCCCTAAGGTAAAAGCAAACCTTTCGTTATGAAGAACTTTATATAAATTAATTTCGATTAATTGCGGATGCTAAAAGTTATGAATATAGGAATCACAGCTATGTAATTAACAAATTCAGCCAAATTTTCTTTCCGTAAATCGTATAAAATAATTTCTGTTAGATACCGTTTTTTTCTTTGTAAATTTTATTTCTGTTAGATTCTGTAATTGCAAATTATATGTCACCATAAAATTGCTTTTAACTGCGTGAGGAATCTATGACTACGCTAACTGATTACCGATAATGTTTTCACTTAAATCTCTTTAGACTGATACATTCATTTAATTTAGTTTATTACTCTTAATAGAGTATTTATAGCGAATAGCGAACAAAACCTTGCCGTAAATAAAGTAAATTTGGCTGTGAATGCAAGAAAGAAATCTAGGTAAGGCAGCGAGATAATGATAACAAGAAAGCAAAATTGTATTATAAAATGCAAACACTTTCTTATTTTAAATCTTTTATGATTACTACTAGATTGTAAATATTTTACTACAATCATATTACAATTCAATGAAACACCGAGAATGAAGAGATATAACTCATTTAAAGAATGGACATATTTTTATCTTTACATTGTCTCTTTTGATTACTTTAGATTTACTGGATAAAGTACATATCCCAAATAATGCTCTCAGAATTTCAAAAAAAATCATAAGAGAAAAGAATTTTGAGTGATGAGTATCTCGTTTAAAGAGCATTTTTTGAAAACTTTTAGCACGAAGACAAGGAAACTCCATTTCCGCTCGAAAAATATTGAGAAGAGGAGTTTTAAAAGAGGAAGAAACAAATAAAGAGAAGCCCGAATAAATAAGGAGAAAGATCAACAGTTTTTTTGTGAGCTTATAAGAATTTTCTTAGATGAAATGTCATAACGTCAGGAAAAAGATATGAAAGAAAAGAGAAATTGTAAAACTTTAGAAAGTGTTTAAATTGCTTTTTGTAGTATTATATTATCCGTTCCCGTTAATATGCATTTAATTAATTTCAGATATAAGCTATCATTTATATGTTTCAATCCAGTTCTTTTGAAAATTTTTATGTCAACCATTTTTGGTTATAGACAATGTTTATTCAACGGGAATGGGTACAAAGTTAGAGTCATCACTAAACAGTCAGTCAAGAATGTTTCGTAAATTGAAAACTTTTCAATCTAATTTCAGTCCTAAATGAAATGAACAAACAAGCTATTTAGGAATTTGTAATAAATACAGAAACTATAATATAGCGTTTAGAGTTTATTTAAATTAGAGTGTGCGCCAGTTAACACTGCTTAGTTTCAAAGCAGAATAACACATTTATTTTACGCAGCAATAAATGCAATTGAAAACAGTTACACAAATCAGCGTCTTACATTTTCAGCAAGTTTCAAGTGTGATGTCAACTTTTTCTCTAACTTCCCTTTATTTATTCCAGTAACAATGCGTTACTTTGTTTTTATGCGTATTTTAGAAATACGGTTATTGGCCATGTTCACAACTCCGTTTAGTGCCAATGTTGCCAATTTATCATTATGCGTGTTTGTGGTTATCTATACAGGATTATCCATATATGTATGAATTGCATAGCATCATGTTTTCCTGTGTTTCTCCTCTTCCTTTTTTATGGATATGCGCTCTCAGCTACTTCGCTCTGTAAATAACCTAGAATATTCTCACAAATACCCCAACAGTCTCTTTTACATTTTATATTTATATTACTTCATTAATTAATTTATTTTCCTGTTTTCTTAGTCCTGTCGCTTTTGTTTCCAACAGGAATAGCTATTCGATCCCAGCATTAGACTTTCATGATTCACTAAAATACATGTATCTTCATTCTGTGCACAGAGCAAAATTAAATTAAAATTTCTCACGTAGTAGTACTAAACAATGCATGCCCATGTTTTCTGTTCCTGACACTTGGTCGTGTAACCGGTTCAAAGGCTTATTCAACCGGTGTATCTTCGTATTGATGTTAAAGGCCGATCCAGAACGTCATGCAAACCCATTTGTAAAATATAATTTTGATAATGAGTTGTTGGCCAAGATGAGTTTTTGGCTAATCCGCTCTAGTAGATGGATGCCCCATTATTGGCATATAAATAAAAGTAGCCTGGATTTACAAACAGGTATTTCTTCTTTTATGCAACATCTTGGGCATAAACTTGGCATAAATCTTGGCATGCAACATCTTCAGTGGCAGTCAAGGTATTGGTGTCATCTCCTACGCCTTGATTCAACGTATAGTGTTCTACTCAACGTATAGTGTCCTACTCAATTCAACGTATAGTGTCCTACTCACGTTCTTCAGACGAACAGCACTTTTAGGACTACTAATATCAGGTAGAGTGATCAGCTTTCAGATAGCTCCATAACATGTCTGCTACAGAAGAACTGAATGATGGCCAATGTATGTCACCAAAGAGAGAGAGAAATCCATCTCCCGGAGAATGGAGAATGCAGTAGATCTTTTGTAATGACTGTGGGATTTCAAACTAAGCAAAACCTTTAGTTTTGTGAAAACAGAGTAGTCGTTTTAATAAGAAGTTAAAGAGCTCTGTATAATTGAGATTTTCTTCTGTGTACTTGTTATGTCTCGCATATTTTGCAGACGGAAACAGCCAATGCGGCTATTGGGAGAACAACCTGCTCTCGGAATGAAGAACCGATCGACACATTGGCTTCTTGAGTCTTGAGTGCACTTTTGGCGTGGAGATTCAATTTGTAATCTCTACACAGCAGACCTCGTTTCAGTCACAAGATCATAAATACCTCAGTGATGCAATTAGCCGTTTGAGATGGCACCACCAGACGACGACAACAAATAAAAGAAAGCCAGGTCCGATACACATTATAATTCTTTAATTGCAAAGAACAGCGCTTGTTTTTTTATTTTTCTTAAAAACTTAAATTCAGAACAAATAAAACTCTAACATCAGTTCCTACTTCAAAAAAGTTTCTTATTTTTTAACTGTGGAGACCATCAAAATTTTCAGAGCGGAGACGTAAAAAATTAATTATGTTCTCTTCGAGATTCAAACAGTAGATTTTCTATTAGTTAACGGAATGCGCTAAACTTTAGGCACAAGAGAATTATGCACGGGGTAATGCGATAATTTCTGCAAAATTATACTTTGCATTATATTGTACTTTTCAAATTTCTTGGGAAATGATGGAAAAATAATTGTTTTTATAAAGCATGTAAACAGCTTCCTTAATATTTCAGCTTTATCTTTTGAAAACATATTTTTTACTCTTTACATCTTTCAAATCATATTTTTACAATCCAAATTTACCCACAAATGTAATAAATTAAAAGATACTACCATTGACAAAAACATTCCTTTCACCGGCCATTAATTCAGCTGTCAAAATCATAAGAATTCCTTTGGTTAAAAAATCGTAATATTACAGCAGCTTTTTACCTCACAGCTTCTTTTATCTTTGAAGAAAAAGGAAAAGTTTTCTTATTGGAAAGGTTTTTATGCAAAGCTTTAATACGTGAATTAAATACTATTCGGGTTTCCCTTTTTAAAAATAAGCTTTAGATTTAAACTTTCGCGAAATTTACAGCTTTTCTTAACAGTGCTTTTTATCAATTTACTCCAACATTTCGCAATCATTTTTCTCAATTAATATTTTTTTTTTGCTTTTATAGTCACCGAGATAGCTTCTTTCTCTCTTTTGATTAAGTTCTTTACATCTTCAAGCTCAAAACTAGCTAGAAATTTAAAAACTACAGCTGCTTTGCATAGATTAACACAGAGAAGTTGCCCAAACAAAAAACATCTGTTTTTCAGTTATACCCTAAATTTGGTCAAACGTTTAGAGGTAATTTAATTTGGATAGAAAATATAAATTTAAAAGGGATCTATGTCAGCAAATATGCTTCGAATATTTCGTCGAATTTTATATTCAATGCTATGGGCCTTCTTGGCGTCATTTATCTACTTTACTTTAATCCTTACATCACTGACATTTCATTCGTTACTATTAACCAGCAGAAGCAATATTTTCAGCATCTTGGTATTCGAAATCTTCACTAGAGATTTTTTTTAAACCTTTACAACACCGTTTTTTTTTTAAAAAAGTATATATTCTGAAAAGAAATAAAAATTCATTACGATTTTGATGAAGAGATATATGGTTTGCTATTTCATTTGCATTTAACACTTTGCACTTAAATCAAGTTTCCTGATTCACTTTAAATATTAAAATCATTATTGTCACATACAGTAAAATCTAATTTTGTTAATTTTGCTATTAATATTAAGCTGTGATAGGCAACATATCGACTTTATTGGATTTAATTTAATAAACACACAAATAGTTGTCTAATAATTAAAATAATTATTGATAATTAAGAATTAGCAGTTACATAGTCTAAGCAACTGCAAAACATAACCTGCCAATTACGAGTCAAACACATATGTATAGACCTGATAACAAATCTTATGAATAGGTAGATAGTTCATTCAGATCTCTACTTTCGAAAAATAAATAATTCTCATAAATTCTAAGTTAGAAGCCATTAAATTAAGTTTTAATCATAAAAACTGTTAGCACGTCTCCTATAGAAACATGCATATGCTTAAAGGTTTCCCTTGAAAGCATAGCTGTGAACAGATTCATGGTAGTTACTCGGGAACTCATATAAGGTTTGCTATAAATGCTATTTTTTAAAGCTAAATTAATTTTCGTATTTCTAGAAAAATCAAGCAGTTATGAAATACATATTAAAAATTTAACTATATGGTTAATAAACTATAATGGTTAATAAAACTCAGAACTAATGTTTATGGTAAATAATTACATATATGTTAAATGATGGATAAAAAGCGGCAACTGAAGCTCTGACCATTTTAAAAATCAAAGTTTTTTTCTTTAAGTTTCTTTCTTTTTTTCTTGTTCTCTACATTTGATATCGCAGATGTTATGTAAACACTTTTTATACGGTTCTTAAAACTGCTTACACGTAAAGTGGAAAATCGCTTGTCTGTTCAAATTGAGCTTTTGCAGGGTCAATAGCAATTTGTCCGTATTGAGCTTTTACGATCGCCCAGCATAAAACCACAACGGCTGGAAGACCTGAAATATATAAAATCACTATAAGTAATTTATGGTAGCTTTAAACATAGTAAATATTTAGAAAACATATAAATACATTTCTAATAATACGTGTATTTAATAAAACAGAAAGACATTTTTCTGTTTTCAAGAATACAAATAAAAATTCAGGAAAAATGAAATACGAAAAAACATGCGAAAAATTACAAACTGAAAATATATTGTCGCAAAAGATTTATTACACGAGGAAATATATGCTAATTATAAATGAGAAAAATTGATATTTCATGTAAAATGTTCAAGTTCTATGCAAATTCAAGTATTCAACATAAAATCTTACAGCGAAACATTTCAGTGCAGAGGAAATTTCACCCAGAATTCATATTGTTCACCGCACTGATTTTTCATTAATTATTTAATTATTATCCTACACTAACATGTATACATAGATAAGGAAGGTAATGTTTTTTATCCAAAACTGGATAGCGAGTTTCTGTGAATAAATAGGAATTACCTATTCCCTGCAACACATTTTCAAATGTGTTATAGTCGCGCAACACATTTTTACTACATTTACAATGATATCTGTCAGTGTGTATATGTGTGACGACATTTTCGGCCACGAAAACTCGCGTACTAGACTTTCAAAAGTTTCTAATTTCCGTCTTTAAACTTTCTACAATCATATACCGACTTATTAGATTTTGGTTAAAACTGGAATAACGGAAGTAGTAATTTACTTGAAGCCCATATTATAATATAATTCAAAAATTTTCATTTCAAGACTAAATGAAAGCGTGGAAATAACATTATGTTAAAATCTGGTTAAAACTGATAAACCTGTGTGATAATTTGCTTGAAAATCTGAACAGGATTTTATGAAAAAATATATTATGATATAATCCAAAACTTCTCGGTTTGGTTTGGTTTATTTAATTATGGCAAAGCATACTAGGGCTATTTGCCTAAGGGTAGGGATGCCTTCGTGGAGGACTTCATAAGGTAAACTGGCTCGTATACACGTTATACACGGGAAAAACCACGAAAACGCCCATGCAGCCAGCCCGTTCGCGGGATTCGAACCTCGGATCGCACTACCAGTGTTCAGCGACTTTACCGCTCGGCCGCTGGTAGGACCCAAAACTTCTCGAATTTTAGTATTTATAACTCGTATGTGCGTAGAAGATGCTTACACATAAATTTAAGTAAATTATGGTCTTCGCTTTAAAGCATTTATTTTAAATATAAAATAAATACTAAATATTCTAAATTAAAAACGAATTAAATTAAACGTTATTCAATTGCCGAATGAAATATAACTTTTAATAAAAAGAATGAGAAAACATTTCATTATGCTAATATAAATTTTAAAAAAATCAGGTTTTTAAACATGGACAGTTATCTGCTCAGGGCCCCATAATGGATAAGTTTGTAATCATGTAATGGGCTCAGCGATCAGTATAGGTTTATCGAAGCACAACACCTGTGCTTAAATAAATGTTCATGGCCCAAAATGAAAGAATTTTCAGGAATTGAACGGTGGGTTCATAAAGTACATGATAATCAGAGCATTTAAAAAATTACTCAATAGCTGTCAATTTTAATCAGTTAAATTAGTATATTTTGTAATCTTTTAACCAAATGAATTTTATCTAATCTAAATATATCTTTTTATTGCGGAGTTTCATTAGATTATGTGTGGAGTAATTATGAGGAGAACTTAATTTTCTGACAGAATTTGTTTTATTCTTTCTAGCTGAAAATTATTCTAATATTTTGCAGCTAAAGTCGTTTTGTTTTAAAAGTCATTTGAATATTTTTCAAATTCGAGATGTTTTTCTTACTTTCTATTTAAGAAGATATAATTATCTATTAGGAATAGCACAAATTAAAATGGCATCATAAACGTACAAAAAATAGAGTAAATCAGGTTATTAGCTCACGTAAATTCAGAACAAAATCATAACAGTTTTTAGAAGTTTAAAATATCTTGAAACAAGTAACCAAAAATCTGAAAGTTCATTTAAGTGTTCTAAAGATGCATTATAATACATTTCTGGTGCCAAAATGTCCGAGAATAAGACATTTTTACTTAATGGTGGACACAGGATGATGAAGTGTTTGCAGTGACGATTTTTTCCCATAGCCTTCTTACCAGAAGTAAAAGGTGAATAATGAATAAAGAGAAGCAGAAACGGAAAAAACAGAATATCACCGCCATTATGATAAACGTTACATTATCGATTTTCGTCTGGCTTGACGGTTCTGTGACGCCTCAGGGAGGGAAGAAGTGTCAGTGGAGGGAATTAATGCTTTTTTTTTATCTCCATATTTCCTCGTGTTTCTACATCTTGCTTCATCGGTGTTTGCTGTTGCAAGTTAATTAACCGGAACTACTATGAAAAAGAAGTAAGGTCTAAGTTTTATTTTTCATTTGGGTTCTAAAATATTTTGCTGAAACCAGAAGTTTAGATGTCTTTGCAAGCCAAGTGTTTGCTTTCAAGCACATTTTATTTAATGATTTTTATTCAGATACATAATAAATAACGTTGAAGGAAGTCGTCTATGAAATCAGTTTTGAAGCTTCTTGTTCGATATAAGAGGAAAAAATAATTCCACGACGGTGTATCTAATTTATTTGAAAATGCTCCTTACCTTAGGATTGAAAACCACATACAGGTCTAAGCAGTAAATGAACGAATCAAGTTATATTTATGGCAAAAAAATTTCAATAGATTATGCGAAGACAAATGAACCTTTACAATAACAATTTATAATTTTAAAGAAAAATTCTTGATGTATGGTTTAATGCAAATTGTTGTAAATAAGGAAGTTTACAAATACAAAATTGCGTTGTGAAAAAAGAATGGAATTTAAGTTACTGAAAGTGTAAATTATCTTACTGAAAACATTTTTTCGCCCACATAGTTTAATTTAGAGGGAAAATTGGTAGTGATGCATTCTAAGCTACGTATAATATTTTTAAGCACATAAGTACAGTAACTCAAGAGAAAGAATTTACTTCAGACGAATGATTTGAACAATTTCCGAATTCAGTAATTCGCCTCAGTAATTTCTTGAAATATTTTTAAACATATTTTTTGTGCTCATTCGTTTAGAAAACCTATAAAGAAATGGAAATAACAATGAATTTATGCGTACATTTTACTGGTTTTTGGCAAACATTTTAAATGTTTTTCTAGTCAAAGATATATGATCACAGATTTCTTGTCATATATGCAAGTACAAAACGCATATTAATGACAAGAGAGCAAAATCAAAACCAAAAGTTATCAATATATGTTTCAGAAAATATCTGGTTTTTAAGAGTTCATTCAATTCTAAATTTTCTACTTCTAAATATAATTTAAAACTCCTTTATTTTACTTTTATATCTAGTTACCTGGTAACAAGAAGATAATCAGAAGTGCCCTGTTGCCATGATATAAATGAACATTAAACTATTAAAACTTGCAAGTTGATTTATAAACTGGTTCTTATGAAATAACAGTTTAATTAAATTAAAAGCAAAGTAAAAATATTATTATTTTAAGCTCAAAGTAATGGGAAGATTATTCATTTTTAACTTTTGTATTTGTGTATAAAATAATAAAAAATAAAAATATGAGTAAAAAAGATGCGGGTTATGTTAAAACTAAATACTCTATAAGATCATGCTTTATTTTCGTTCAAAAAGTTTTCCTGTTTTCTAGTTTAGAAATCAAATACTGCATGCATGAAATATGCCAATGTCTGAACATCAATATCATGAAATACATCTGAATGCATACATACGTTTTTTAAGTGCAATTGCGTGATTTCTTGTTGGATGTTAGCATGTACACGTTAAATTAAAAGTTTGTATTTCATTTAAAAAATACTAATTTATAATTTAAACAAATAAAATGGATTTTTGCTTTGTTAATCAAAAGATTGTATAATTTCGATCGTGCGAAATATTAAAATTTTTTTATGATATTGAAGTGTGTGTGTGTGTGTGATTATGACAAAGCCTCGAGGGCTATCTGCCTAAGGGGAAGGATGCCTTCGTGGAGGACTTTCGAAGGGAACTGGCTCGTATACACGTTACACATGGGAAAAACCACGAAAACGCCCATGCAGCCAACCCGTTCGCGGGATTCGAACCTCGGACCGAACTACCAGTGTTCAGCGACTTTACCGCTCGGCCGCTGGTGGGCTTATGATATTGAAATCTTTTACTGATAAGGTGTCATTTGATATGACAAATGATTTTCTAGATGCATCCGTACATGCGGTAAGTTACTTGCTTTTCACGTTGACAACAAATTTCAATTACAGCTTACATTGTGCACGCAGGAAAAATAATATATTGTGCTTTTATGTGAATTAAAAAAATAATTTGGATTTGCAAATTCTCTCTCTCTCTTTATTTTTTGGTTCAGCAAGTAATGTTTTGCTAAACAACGTTTGAAAACAATACTATATTTCAGGCAACAGCTACATTAAAAACTTTTAGAGAATGAAAGTTTGCGTCCTTTGCTAATAGAAAAAAATTCTTGGGCTTAGACTCTACTAATAAGCTCTCCGCAACTGCGAAGCGTAAACAACATTTCTGTATTTACATAGAGAGGAAATAACAGCCATATGCAAGTAGAAAATTGGAAATGATGAATGTCTCATTATTTTTTTTTATATGTTAGCCAAAATACTCAAGTAAAAAACCGAAGTAGAAAATTATACGTATGTAAAGGAGAGAAAATTGTAATGAATGCCCCCAATTACGTGTATACGTTGAGTACCTTAGTTTGATAAACAGACATTTTCTCCCTTTTTACTGTAAAAGAAGGAAAAACATTTGCTTTGCATTTTAACAGTTGAAAACTCAGATAAAACTGTATGTAATTACTCTTATTTTATATAATTCTTTAGGTATTATTAGGGTATGATATCATATTATATTCAATATTTTGTAACTGAGGAAAAATAATTTCTAACTGAATCTTTAAGAATGTTAATTTATATTTATTTGAAAAAAGGAA